GCAGCGAATTAACCGAAACGCCGGCCAGGATTGAGCACAAATACCAGTCCCGGACGCGAGAACCTAGAGCTCCTCGAAAAACATGACGCCGTAGGCATCCAAGTCAGCCGACTGGGTAGATCTAAAGGCGGTATATTTTGGATAGCGAAGGCTGCTTCCAGCTCGTAAACAATAAAAAACGGGTTTGTCCCTCGGGTATTAAGCCCGAGGATTCCAAGAGCATAAAAGGGCCGCAGTCGGAACAGCTACAAGCAGACAATATTGAAGTCTGGTATACTAAAGATTGTAGTGTCCGAGGAAAATTGGAAGAGAGTGCAACACGCTCACAGGGATCCAAAATCGTCGTTGCAGGAACTGCAAGTTATAGCCGGCTTAGTGGGCTATACTAGTTACCGGCAGGACAGAGTAGACAGTAGGCTGGGCGAAGGTGTTCTTATATTAGTTAGGTCCTCCCTCAACCAGTTGGAAAAATGGCTGGTCTTATTTACCCCTAACATCCCAGCAGTAAAGTGATGTGTCGAACTGGGACAAGAGCAGATAGGCATATTATGCGCCTACCGTGCCCCTCTTGTGATTCCTTGGGAAGATACAGAGCTTTTGCGGGTTATGCAAGAAAACTTGGCTAGCTACAAGAGGTTTCTCGTAATAGGTGGCTTCAACTTTCCGGAAATATCCTGGGCACATAAATGCACGATTGCAGGTTCTCGAGCTGAACGGATTCTGAAGTGGCTAAAGGATAGAGCTCTCTCACAACATGCTGCAAGAGCAACGATATACCGAGGACAAAAGCAACACTCGCTGCTAAACCTAGTTGTCACAAGGTACAGCTCGGACAAAACTAGTCTAAATATGGAAGAACCGTTGGGCAAAAGCGACCACACAGTTATTCGCTTTTGACTAATGGTTAGCAATCGTAGGCACGGACCTACCCTTATGCGTCTCTATGGTTGCATAAACGTCACAAAATTGGTACATGCTGCGGATACCATCAACTGGTACCCGACGTACCCGGATTGTACCGTGCAAGATAGATCGAATGTAGTTAAAGGAGGGTTAACTAGTTTCACGGTAAGGTTCGCTCCACTGAGGGAAGGACGAACCAGACATAGACCAAAATGGTGAAAACCCGGAATAGAGGAGGTGTATTGATCGATCTGCAAAAATCCTTCTTGTGAAGCCCAGTCAATCTATCTCGGTTCCACATATTGTGAATTTCACGTTCCATTCGCTGAACACCATCCGCCTCACACATACATAAGCATTTGACATTCCACTCCCTTTTTATATTTACACATCGATCCTACCATTTGACTTTGTTTGTTTATCTGCTTCATTCATACCCTACTTGTTTTAATCGCGACCTGAGCGCTCACAGTTGGCTCTTTCGTGTGCAGCGTGACGGTGAGCGTGATATTCTTATCCAGAAGCATTTTCTTCCGTTTACATTTGTTGAATTACGCTCACAGTAACACTTGGCTCTTGTTTTCAAGTTGTTTTGAGATCAATTTCCGGTTGGTGCATTTTTATTTGCTTATTTGATCGTCTATTATTGCAGTACCGTGGAAATTTGCCGGATCGTTCGTTTTGTTGACGTTTTGGGATCCGATTTCGGCTTTGCTTTGCTCGTTGATCTATTCGGAAGGCACAATACTCAAAGTTCGCACAATTTGGAACAAGAGAATGTCGTTCGAACAAGGAAGGATTGAGGAGGAAGGACAGGAAGTAACCCGGCAAGTCAATGGGGAATTTGGGGTTTCTGATTTTCACATTTATAATTCAGTTGGTCCTGTTATTGCTAGGAGTTTATGTGACCTAGATTGCGATGCTGATGTTAAGATGTCTGATATATATTTCCGTAAGATTTTAGAGTTAGAGCAGCAGATTAGGTCGATGAAGCTCAGAGAATCAGAAGCTAGGCAACCTTGCTCAACTAAGCACGCCGCGACGGAAAAACAAACTCTGTCCATTAGACTGACGCCTAGAGTGGCTCAACCACCAATTAAAGCAATACACCACCATATGTCGATAGACCTGCCCAAAGTGGAGCTAACTCCATTCGACGGGAACCCCATCAACTATTGGAGGTTTATTAGAGAATTTGACAATTTCTTCGAGTGTCGGATAGCCGATCCGGGGCAGAAATTCCTGTATCTAAAGCGTTACTGCCACGGGAAGGCCCTTGACGCTATTGAAGAATGTGTAATGCTGTCAAATGAAATTGGGTATAGCCAGTCAAGGGACATTCTGAAGGAACTGTTTGGCCAACCGTTTCCCGTGGCACGGACGCTCACAGACGGGGTGCTGACCGAGATCCGTAAAGCTAGAAACGAGCCCGAATCGTTGGTGAGACTGGTGATGAAGATGCAAAACTGTTTCATTGCCCTGACTCAATTGAATTACGAAGCTGATTTGAACGCACTACACACCCTAGAGGCAATAGTACGATGCCCGCCAGCTGACATACAGCAGCGATGGGCGGAGGAGGTGGTGATTATTGGCCGTTAAGGGAGGGAACCAAACTTCACAGAGCTAACGGGATTCATCCGAGGTCGCTGGCAGTTGCTTCGGACAGCTCGCCAGCATGAGTAGGCGAGAACAAAGAAATCACACCAAAAAACGAACCTACGAGATCCCGAGAAGTTTCGAAACGTGAACAACTATGCGATAATAGGGGAACGTGGCACGCCCAGATTTCCCATGTGTCGTTTGAATCACGAGTTATCCGCTTGTGAGAAATTTGTGCAACTAGGAAATCCGAACCTTTGGGAAGCGGCCAAGAGGTGAGGGGCATGCTTTATCTGTTTGAACGGCTCACATAGTGTGGCCGCTTGTAGGAACCGTAGAAGATGCAGGGAAACGGGGTGTCAAGGAAGCCACCATACTCTCGTGCATTCTATAAGAGAAACCCAGTTACCGGCACCCCAAAAACCCAGCGTATGTCTACTATCTCAATCGGCGAACAAGCAGGTATGGCTCGGGGTAACACCAGTGGGCATATTGAAACCCAGTGGGGTGATGAAGGCGATGGCGTTCATTGACATTGGATCCGATACCACTTTGATCACCAAACGCTTCGCCGTAAACCATAACATCACAACCCGACCATATTCCCTGACGATCAGCACGGTGAAAGGCACCAAGGCGACGTCCACCGATCAATTAAACGTGTCGTTGGTTTCGCTAGTTAACGGGTTGAGTTGAGGTGACGTAAGCTTTCGCCATCGTCGACTTGCCGATGCGAGCAGTGGAATCAATCGGAGAATTAGCAACGCGCTGGCCGCACCTGCGAGACTTGTGTTTCGAAGAAGCCAACTCTCCCAAAGTGGATCTGCTAATAGAATGTGACGTACCCGAAGCACACCGGGTCCTGGACCAGAGACTGGGAGGCAGGAAAGGACCATATATTGCTCGCACCAGGCTGGATAGACGTTGTTTGGACCGCCTCAAGCGTCAAATTGTAAACTGTTATCAGTTTACTTCACCACCACCGTTAGCGATGATACGATTGAACAAGCTCTCCAAATGATGTATGATAATGAGTTTGCTAACTTGAACGACCAGAAAAGGGACCCTTCCGTAAAAGACAATCAGGCGTTAGCAATAGTCGAAATAGGGACACGGTGCCATCCCGACCGGTTCGAGGTGCCGTTGCCATGGAGGACGGGATACGACCGATTGCCGAACATTCACGTGCTAGCCTTAAAAAGGTTAGAGTATCTAAAAAGGCGACTGATCTACGACACATATCTCCGTCGACAATAAGCCGCGGCAATGCAACGGAACGTTCAACTGGGATATATAGAACATTTGGGCGTCTCATGACCACGCGAGAAAAGACTGTGGTACTTGCCAAACCATTCGGTAACAAATCCCAGAAAGCCAGGGAAGATACGCGTGGTATTAGACTGTGCGGCGCGGTGCGGTGGTCTCTGCTTTAACGATTGACTGTTTCAGGGACCGGACTGGACCACGCCCTTGATTGATGTGCTCAACCGATTCCGGCTAGGAGCAGTGACAGTGGCAATCGACATAAAAGAGATGTTCCTCCAAATTAAGATACCAGAGGATCAGCGCGACGCCCTGCAATTGTTACGGTGTCCCGATGGTAACTTGCAGAACCCGGCGGTAGGCTCTAGACTGACCGTTCATTCATTCGGAGCGGTTTCTTTGTCCTTCTGCACAAACTTCGCATTTCGGTGGACAGCTTCGCAATACGGAAACAACTTCCCGGCTCCGGTGTCAGCTAGCGCTGCGATGACTTCCTGGGCGCCTTTGACAACGCAAAAGAAGCCGCGCAACACGTTATGCAGCTCAAGTGTTTACTGGAGAAAGGGGGTTCAATTGAACCAAATGGTTTTCTAACTCACATTTAGTTTTAGATAACGTTCCCAAAACTGACAGAGCGAGTGGATCTCTCAGCCTGACCACACAAACACTCCCTATCGAGCCGACCTTGGGGGTGCGATGGAGCTCGGAGTCAGAAGAGCTCATCTTTCAACTAAAGCTACCCGACAGGAATACCACTCGACGAGGGTTGTTATCTTCCCGCTCGGGTTTTTGTCACGCCGTGGTTGTTGCCAACTTTGTCGAAAACGGACAGAGTGGGATCAACCCTTAGATTAGCAGGACAGTCGGATTGGGAACAATGGTTGACCGGCCTCAGAAGGCTGGGTGAGATACGGATCTCGCGCCGACTCAGCCGGATCAGTCAAGCGACGAAGGGCGAACTGCACCTATTCTCCGACGCATTTCAAACGGGATACGGAGCAGTAGCCTACGTATGTTGGCAGCAAGTGAACGGCGAACGCAAGACGGAATTAATTTTTGCCACAGCCTGGGTCGCCCCATTGACACCCCACCTCGAACTGACCGCGGCTGTGCTAGCGGTGCGTATAGCCAAACAGTTGCGACAGCGCTCCCGTATATTCGAAGAACACGTGTCGTTCTGGACCGACTCCACCATTGTAGCACACTATGTGCATAATGTAAGCACTAGGTTCAGCACCCTTGTTTCCAACCGACTGACGATAGTGCACGAAGACACCAAGGTGCACCAATGGCGTTACGTGAAATCTGTGAATAACCCAGCCGACCACTGCTCCCGAGGCTTGAAATCATTGAACAAGCTACGCAATTAGCTCGGCGGCCCGACCTTCTGACCGCAGCGTTAAAGGACGAGAGTGCAGTGCTTACAGAGGGCGCTGAAAATCCGCCGACAATGCGGGGATCGCTTTAGGCTTTACGTCATTTAACAAGCTCGGAATAGGTAAAAGCGGGTGCGCAACACATGTCAAGACCTCCAAAGGCGTGCAAAATATGAATTCGAGTTTAACTTAGAGCGAGGCGTCAAAAAGAACTCGAAAAGCTTCTATGCTTACGTGCAAGCCAACGCACGCACATGGAAGAGTGTAGGAGCACTAGCTTTGCTCAAAGGGGGCATAGCTACGTGTAACCGCGATAGAGCGGAAACCCTACTTACGTTCTTTAAAAGCGTTTATAGGACCTCAGCGAACTATGATAACCCGGGTTTAGCAGGAGCAGCTGATACGCCAGAGTTTGCCGATATTGCCATCTGTGAAACAAATGTACATCAAGAACTCCAGACGCTTAAAAAGCACAAGTCAGCAGGTCCGGATGAAGTACATCCAGTCATTGTGCAGCCGCTGGCTGAGGTGCTAAACGGGACGCTGACTGTACTTTTTAGGGAATTAGTAAAAGCTGCTACGCTACCGCAGGACTGAAGTACAGCTACCGCAGTAGCATTGCACAAGGCCGGACCGAAACACAAAACAGAAAACTATAGACCCGTTAGCCTAACGTCAGTGATGTGTAATTGCCTGGAGTGACTGATCAGAAGACAGATTTGCTCACATCTGACTAGCAATAAACTCCAGACACCGGCACAACATGGCTTTGTGCAACGGAAATCATGCCTTACAAATCTGCTTGTATTCCTAGACAAAGTCACTCAACGTATGGATGAGTAGAAGAATGTGGAAGTCTGCTACTTAGACTTCCGTAAAGCATTTGACTCTGTCAGCCATAGATTGTTGGACTTCAAGGTTCGGAGCCTAGGCATAACAGATAGAGCAAGGGACTGGATTGTAGCGTTTTTGAGTAATCGCACCTTCCAGGTCAAGGTGGGTGACTACATTTCTAACCATGAGATGGTTACAAGTGGGGTTCCCCAGGGCTCAGTGCTAGGCCCCCTACTTTTTCTCATATTCATCAACGATCTGGCAAAGGATCATCAAAATCCGCGTTTCATGTTTTCTGATCATGTCAAAATGACGGGGGTGAACCTACAGACGGACATAGAGGTAGTCCGTTGATGGTGGGTCAAGTGGGAGCTATCTTTGAATCTAAACAATTGTCGGCTCTTAGCAACGAGGGCTGGGGTATACTCGTAGAATGGTGCTCCCATGCAGCAGGTCCCGCAGATGAAGGATCTAGGGGTTCTTATGACCCAAGCTTTTAAGCCCTCAACCCAGTGCTCCAAGGCTGCAAATCAGGCTAGCGGACAGCTGTCTAGGCTGTGGGCCACAGTGACATGCAGAAGGCCTCGGGTTTCCGTCCCAATGTATTAGTCGGTTGTTCGCGAACACATGGAGTATTGTGTGCAAGCATGGGCACCGTGTTACAGGAGGGATGTAACGTGCTTAGAGCGAGTGCAACGCCTAGCTACCCGAATGGTGACTGGGCAAAAGGGGAAAAGCTAGGAGCAGCGTTTAAGAGATCTCAATATATTTTCGCAGGAAGGTAGAAGAGTGAAGAGGGATCTGATAGAGACTCTTAAAATTGTTAGAGGTCTATCGGGTCTCAACCTAGATAACTTGTTTACGATTTCTCGTGCTCAGAACACGAGAGGTCATGGCTGTAAACTTCAACAGAACCACTCCAGGTTGGAAGTACGGGCCAACGTCTTCGCACACATGGTCATACCTATGCGGAACAGGTTACCTGCAGAAGTGGTCAACTGCACCAATGTTCACTCCTTCAAGGTTGCCCTAGACGCATGTTGGTGAGCAACGTTTCCCGAAGTTAGTATTTGAAGTTAGAACATCAAGGATGAATTCCACGTTAGCCGAAATTTTATGAAATTGTTTCAACTCTGGCTTCATGTTGGAGTTGTTCTCAAACCCACTGTTCTGTCACATGTGATCTGCGTATACGAACGCATGTGTACTTTAGGTCTCTAACCTATGAGGCAAGGAGATATCCTTGCTTATGTTCCTCTCTTTTAGCATACTCTCAAGGAGTTAACATTTTGGAAACGGGGCTAAATCGAGAGGATCACAAACAACTAACAAACTGTACGCAGCGTTGGGGGCTACTCTCATCCACCGGCAACTCAACCAACTGGACGCTGGGTTGGCCGGAGCCATATTCGTCCTGTGAAAACTGAATTGAATTGAAAGGAGCAGGATTTAGTGGAAGTATCTAACTGGGCAAAGGAATAGGACCTAATTCTCAATTTAACGAGGAGTCATGTGCCCACAGGGACA